TAAAATAAACCGCTTTAAAACCCGTTGCTTAGTTTTAAAGATTTAAGCATACATAGGGACAGACAGCGACAACGGCTTCATTTTATACTATATAATGATGTTATATTCGTCAATCATACGACGAGGTCTCTGTTGCATCGATTTATAGTAAAATCGCAACCATCGGAAGTATAGCGATGTGCCGTACTTCTGATGATTTCTGTGTCCATTCCACGACATTGCACATTACAAACATTTGTATTGACTATATGAGTATCATTGTTTGTATTGGTCTGGGTATTTTCTATATATATTATGTAAATACAATTTGTTTGTTTTTACTTCAAGTAGAATTTAATGTTTCCAGTGGGCGTACACTCTGTGGTTATGACACGTGAGTACGCACATTACAAACGAGCAGACCGCGTACGTAACGCCCAGAAACGGCGAAGAGTCAATGATCCCAACAGTGGGACTGAGGAAATATCGGAAGCTGCTGTTTATTTCCGACCTGGGGTACCGCCAGCTCAGCGTCAAGTATATTATCAGGTTAAATAAATGCATTATTATTAATATATAAAACAACATCATAGGGATCGTTTGATACCCGAACTATAACTGATTATTTGATTAGCAAGCTAAAGATAACTTGGTAATCCTATGGTAGGTGATGGATGATTTTTCTACTTATATCTTCATTCCCTTTGTGTTCTTTCCTTCTAAGAAGGTAAGGTAAGAGGTATTTTGCCTGTATGTTGCCCAATACAGGCAAAATACCTCTTTTATACACATAATAATAAAACATGTACCCAATACAACTATACATGTAACTGATTGTTATCTGTACATGGGATATATATGGGAAAACGATTACTGATGGATTGATGATGGATTGATTTATCAATTTTTTAACAATCCAAAAGGAAATATTTTAAGAATATTTGTCTCTTTGTCAGTGCGTTTTGAGCTCAAATCTTAGACAGAGCTAAACAGATTTGTGTATTTTCATTAATGTACTAAGTTATTAGTCTTATGCCAATAGGTCAATAAACAAAAACGTTATAAACTATTGTTATTATGACTATGACAGCGCACGGATATGAAGTCGCGGGCTCATCTTGCAATACATGAAACTTATCATTTGTAAATTTATTTTTGCAGTTATGTGATATTAAATTACCAGAAGTTGAAGAGTTATTGGCAAAAGAACCATCACCTGGATATCTCTGTCATCCTAAGCGCGGCTGGCTGCCGCCCAAAGGCGAGGAGACGTGTCGCGACCACATGTTCGAATACCTTAAACAGATGGTGAAATCGAATTATACTGCTGAAATGAAATTTGAGGTTAATATTTTGAAAGTTTTGTTTTTTATAATAGTAATATTGTACCAAAGATCACTTTGTACTAGACCAAATGGTTGTTAAATATTAACAAACATGTGTGAGTTTATTTAAATATAGTTTATTTCTATGAGTATATATTCTAATGCAATACTAACCCATATGACCTCAGTATTGGATTTTGAAGACATTTTTATTTTTTGTTCAGGATGGAAGTAGCGATGAAGAGAACTCGGAGGATGATGGTAGCGGAGCCACGGGAACCGAAGTTGACGAAGGCCAATAAATATATAACATAAGAATAAAAATATTATTTCATAACCGTCCCTGATTATTTTTAATGCAACATGTCATATTTAAATCGTATTTACTTACTTTCGTTTATTTCAGTTATTTCATCCAAAACAATAGACATTATCATATGATCTCACATCTTAATGATAAATGTGTTTGTAGCATAAAACGGAAAACGGGAAAACAAGTAATAATTCCGAATATTTTAGTTTTAAAACTTTTTGTTAGACTGTTCGTGCTAAAAGCACCATCACATCTCTTTGTTTAATATTAAATGTAGTCAACAATCTTAGTATTTTTCTGGACTGTTGTAGACTAATGTGGAAGAAAATGGATAGATGTTTGTTTATTTGTTGGCACATCACGTTATCGAGTGGTGTGTATCATGCGTTGTCAATCCAGAGGTACTAAGATGTCATGTCTCGTATCTTGAACTTGCAGTTATCGTTCGAGGGTAGCTATAACTAAAACATATAAAGCAAGCTGTTTAGTAGTTGAAATACGTGAGACCGAGGTACCCTAACAGATGACATTTTACAAAGTCAACCATTTCAATGACAAATTAAGTTAATTTAAAAAGAATACAAGACTGTCATTAAATAATAGGTACTTACTACTAAGTAGAGTTAGTGATTATTGCATCTATGCTTGTTGATACATTACGTTAAAATGGTTAATTAATCACGACATTGATACAATATCAGTAGTAAACAAGTATCTAATTATATTTGTGATAAATAAGTTAGTTAACTTGTAATTAAACATTCTACAATATTACTGTCGGCTGCTTGCATTTTGTCTTCCGGTTTAAAGGGTTAGATGATAATGCTAATGATAGGACTGGGTGGGAATACGGATGTATCTATAAGAGTGACAACGACACTTATATATAGATATTCGATAGGCGTCAGTGTTTTTTGTAATTGCAACGGTGCTGTTTAGCTTGTTTTCATTTTAAGTACCATAAGATATAGTAGTAAGACATGTACTGATGATAACTGATAAAAATACATACATATTATACATAGAAAACACCCAGACCCATACAATCAACTATTCTCATGAATATAAATGTCTGTGCCGTGCGAGGAGTCGAACCCGCAACCATCTAAAGTAAAGCGGTGCAGCGGTGTGCTAAACTACTAGACCATCGAGATCGTCAAAGATAAGATATGAGAAAAACTATTGGAGGATTTTATTAACCCAATAGAATCTAAAATAATAATTGTAAGAATTTTTGCCAGTTTGTGGACCACCATATTACTGATTACGTACTTAACACATTACCGATTTCTGGACTAACTTAACCTGACAGTCTGTAAATGATAAATTCCTTTTTTATGTAATAAACAGTAATAATTATAATTAAGAGCTTAATATTCAATAAATAAAATATTGCGAAATAGTACACCACGACTTAAAAAAATAGAAAACTAATATATCCGGTGCAGTGCCATATGTGCCTATTATATGATTACTCCACACGATCACAAGTTGCCCTAGACTACTTTTGCTGACGCGGTCTTCACTCTAGAACACGTCTAGGTAGAGTAAAGTTTATTGACTCAGATATGATGAGTCCACTGTGGTTTTCGACGACGAATTGTTTTCTTTTGAGTAAGAAATGATGAGAGAAATTTGTTTATTAAAACTTTAATGCACAAATACATAGATATATCTAGTTGTACCTGGCTACTTAACAGCTTTAGGTATTTTCTCCTAGTCAACCATAGGGCAATCAGAGATTTATGTTAGCGCTGCATTTTATATATAGATATAAATTAAAAATAACAATGAACAAAAATCTATGATTCTGATTAAACGAGTCCATAATAATTATATAATACATAACGTTAAATAAATAATTACACATATAAACAATATTTATAAATATAACTATACATACATACATATACATTTAAATATAATACAAATCAACAGTGAATATTCAGATGCGTGGGTCAGAAAAGAAGTATTTAATTTTGAAAATCGATAAAGTATTAATTTGGTTTTGGTAAAGATATTAGCGTAAATTAGATTTATATATGAATTTGGTAGCGTTGGTTTTTATGTCAAATCATTCATGGCCTGCAATGTGAAAGATTTTGAAATGTAGCTCGTACGATGAACAGGAACATGCAGAAGTAAATTCCTGGACGGCGAAGGTCATGGTAAGAAATACCGCGCATCACTATTTCTTGCTGAAAAGTATTTAATTTCTTAATAAACTAATTGTCGAAATATTACGAGTTAATAAAAATCATATTATAATGCATGCAAATACATATATTATCTAAAAAATATACCTACATATATAGGCGGCAGATTAAGACGTGATGGTAGTGCTGTTTATGTTTGTAGGCGACGGTTGCTATTTGCTATCAGTTGGGTGATGGGTCAGCTACTTTGCTGTTGCTTATAGAAACTGAAATAATATATACTTTTGTTTCTCTATAATTATATTTAGTATAATGAATGATTCACAAATAGTAGTTAAAAACATGATACATACATAGATAAATGCTCGATGTACTTTGAACTAACCTAATCCATCCGTTAGTCATAAATAATTTGGAATAAAGAATATATATTGCACATGTACTTTGTTCTGAATCTAAGTTAAGTGAGAAAGAAAATTATCATGGTTTATTATAGTAATTCAGATAGAAATTTAATGTGATTCTGAAGAGACCGCGTAGAGATTGAACTGATGAACTGATGCAAGCTCCGGCCCCTATTACAAACATATCCTTCCCCTGAACTGGACTTGAATTTCAGCGAATTAAATATTCCTTATAAAGTATATCTACGTATTTTTCTATTTATTATCAAAACCCATTAAGTGGTGTGATCACAGCACAGTCAGTACAGTGCAAGTTTGAGCTCTAGTCCTCTATAGAATGTATAATTAGGGTATTATAGGTAATGTATAATAAGTAGAGTAAAAAAGTGTAATATTTACAAAAAATTATATAAAAAAAAAGAAAAAGAAAAGAAAAAAAGAACCTGAGGAATACACACAGGATTAAAACATAGGCCAAAAGGATGTCGCAAAAACAGCTATATTACTTTACAAAAATAAAAAGCTGTAGTCCTCTGTTAGGTAGGTATATGACAGATTAGTGAAACTAAATATGAACTATCACTGCATGGTTTTAACAGTAATATAGAGGACATTGATCATTGGCTGTCGTTTTTATATTCTATGTGTTATAACTTCCAAGAATGAACATTACTTGAAAAATATTACGCAATCCTCAGTGCTGTAGATATTTTCTCTTAGGCTTCCAACCCTTCATGCGCTTGTCAACTCGGGAGAACAAAGCGGCTGCACCTTATCGTATCTATAAAACTGGCGGGATGACGCGCGCGCGCACTTGCCTGCACCTCTCACTCGAGACACGTTCGATTTCCCGCCACTTTTCGCCGGCGCGCGAGTTTCCACAACGCGGGTGAGGTTAGTGTATTTACATTTATCAATAACATTTTTTATTAAGTAGTAGCTTGTTATATGAGTATTCATCAGTTCTGTGATATACTTTGTGCCGTGAACGTGCTGTGAAGGTTTCGGTTGTGCATGTGAACAACAATTGAAATACAAAATATAGTGATTATCTGTTTTAAATTGACAAGGCCTTTGGTAAGAAATATTATTACTAATATATATATAAAATACATTATACTTATATTAAATTTTAGTCGAAATAAATAAGTAATTATAGATTACCTAATGAACACAAAAAACGTATAGTATCTTGTACATTGCAATAACAATTATTAGGTTTTTTTGTAATAGGTATTGTGAATTACAACTTAGCATTTTATTTGGAACAAATGCAATAGAATATGATTACATGGGCTTGTGCAGGGTGACTGAACTATAGATAACTAATAGAAACAGATGAAACTAGAAATCGACCACATTGTACCTATTACATGCGCTGACTTAGGTCTTTAATTACACTACCTATAATTGGGTACCTGTAATCTCAACTATATCTATCTTTTAGTCTTGTAATGATATTGATTATCTATAATAATCAATATCAAATCATAACTTATGTTCCAATACTTCTTTTTAATAAATAAAAGAATTTGTAGGTTTTGAATGTTTTATAATATGGGTAATGAATTTTATCTCAATGCCGTAATGCGGTTTGCTTGGGATATATCAGGCGAATGCGAAAACATTCCCATCCCTTCGTCATGGATGAATAGTAATAGGTGCTTAGCTGGTATAAATCTGACAGTTCTCATAGGACACTAAGCCAGAAGGACTCTAAGTATATGTTCCAGGTAAAAAAAAGTTACGGACGCCTCCAAAACCCGTAGGACATGGTCGCTAGCAACACTGAAGAAAGTGTAACACTGATTTATTATATAGTTAAATCTATAATGTAACCCACATGTATAATATAGTACACATGGGTCGTAGAACTGAAAAAATATTACCTTCAACATTGTCTACATTAAATTTATTCAATTTTACGAGGTGAAAACAAACATACTTACTTTTAATATAAAAAACTACTCTCAAGGATACAACTCGTTCGGTAGATATGTATGTACATAACAAATGTCTGATTTTCTTTCAATAAGTAAAATATGCAATAGAGCAGAGGATATTTTCAAGAAGAAGACTTTACAAAGTTGTCTGCATGAGTCCTGTCTCACATTTATTTTTATACACAGAGAACTCTAGGCAAGTAATAGTCACGCTTAGTTTTTTAATACGTAGAAAATGCCTTATATATTCAAACAGATGCACAAGTAGAAGTTTATGTAGTTCGGGAATCAAACCTGTGACCATTGGAAAGTAAGGTAATGTACTAAACTGTGACCGACCGAGAGCGTCATTTTATTGCCAAGTAGCATAGTCGTTCCGGGGTCATTTATTATTCTTACGGTTCCGGTATAATGGTTTAATATCAGAGGCATCTTATGACACTACAATCTTAGTATAGTTTAATTATATTATAGGCAGGTATAGTGTAAGCTTGAGCAATAACGCAATATAACTGGTAATAATTAAACAAAAATATAAGCGTTATGAAATATATTTTGAATTTCAATACTCTGCAATCATAAACAGTTGTATTAGTATATAACAGGAAAAATTTGAATAAGGAGTAAAACTTTTACTTTGTGTAGGTCATCTACTCGTACTTCGTTCTCGTTCATAAGAATAGCAAATATGTGTAGTCTAGGTATACAGCTCTGTTGCAAACTCTTTGCACTCTTTTTCTACCAATTTTAAATGTATTTTCTTTTAGAATTGTCATATATTTTTATTATCACTTTTTGTCTACAATCGTTTGTACACGTACCTATCTTCATTATAAGTATTTACCATTTTCTATCCATTGTTTAATTTACATCACACATACAGTCCACTCATTCTATCAGCTACAAGCTCAGTGTATTCTGTAACAGTAGTGGTAGTTCTATAAGTAACGTGACGGGTAATACTTTCCATGAGATAGATCGTCAGCTTGAATGTTAAGTAGTCAAATGCGTCCTTAACATTGACCCTATCAAAAGTACCTACAAAACAATGAATGTTCAGTTCCTTAACATACTATTGTATAAAAATAAAAGGATTTTTATAATATCAAAATTGAATATCCATGTTAAAGATTTAGGTATTAAATTTTATATATATATATATATATATATACCTACTTCTATATCTACATATAAATAAAATTGGAGTGTTTGTTTGTAATATTGAAATAACCGTTTTTTATTACAAGCATATGAATATAAAATAACATTTTTTACAATTTTTGTCTGTCTGTCGGTCGGTCTGTTTGTCCCGGCTAATCTCAGAAATGGCTGGACCGACTTAGACGGGACTTTTTTGGGAGGTAGGTGATGTAATAAGGAGAAACTTAGGCTAATTTTAATTTAGAAAATATCTTTTATTTTAGTAAAATAAAGTTAAATTCCACGCGGACGAAGTCGCGGGAACAGCTAGCTATAAATATATTTTGAGACATCAAAATATAGTGCCATAGATAAATAATATTCTATAAATAATAATATATAAATTTTACTAAACTGGGTATGTATTTTATATACATGTAAAGCTTTTTTTCTGCTTCTACTTGGTCCTTTTTTTTGATAAAAAAGAAGAACAGTTTGTTTTTCATAAACTTGAGTGATCTGTAACCAAGAAAAATGTGTTTTTAAACAATTAAGTCAAAGGCACGTGCTGTGATGTGGGTGGAATTCACAATAAGCTCTTGCCTTGTGGCCAGTGCCATGAGAATTTATCTATAACAATAAATAAAAACTGAGTCCATCCGCAGTGAAAGTAAACCTTCAGATTAAAAAAAAAGTGATATAATGATATAATATTGTTATTGACATTAAGTTATTTTGCGTGTATAAAATATGCGTAAGTAAGTAATTATTTAACTACGACATTCGTCATACATGACAATAAACACTCAATAAATAAGCATTTATGTGTAAATGACATATATATGTATATGTACTTTTATATACTTAGTACCTAGATAGTCGAAACTGAATTCACAATATTTTGTACGTAGATAAGTTATCTAATAATTTACTCTAAATAATTTTTAATTGAAATTTAAAGATTTCAATATATATGTCGCTATTAGATAACCGATAGAAAAACGTCTCTATTTATTGGCCTCTAATAGACTGTTACTAATTATAATATATTAATCTGCCTAGACTTTCTTTTCGCTTGTTTATTTAGCGTCCTAAAGATCAAATGGTTTTATTAATTATTATTATATAATTACATAAGTTTTTACTTGACAAGCTAGGTAACTTGTAAGTGAAAACAACTAGGTAGTAGGATTAACCTGGATAGTCTTAGTGTTGGTTAATATAGATTCCAGGTTTTGATAATGACTTGGCTAATTATTTTATCAAAGTACGTGCTAATCAATTGATTGATATGAAATTTGATGATCTTCCCCTTTATTTAGAATTACATATGTATTAAACTGTTACAATGTATATATTTTAATTACAATGTATAGGTCCGTACATTTGTCTATTGACATTGATAAGAAGAGTTATCAAATTGTACCTAAATACTTATAGAATCATTAGCTGTTACACCCCAACACTGCCTACTATTGTGAGATATTTGTAACTACATATAATTTTAAATAACTATTGAACTAATTTTCATACACAGACATATAAAGCATTAAGACTTAGGACAGGGTTTCGATACGTCGCCGCGTCGGTTTAGCACTTCATTTAATTAATTAATGTATTATTATTCTTAACATCTTGAGTAAATATCTCATTTAATAAGCAGATAAGATACCGACACTCATTAATATTGAGGTTAATCCTAGAAGTATGATAAGAATAATTTCATCAGTTTCATCTTATTTTAGAGGATTGATAACAGAGAAAATGATAACAAAGATTACAAAAAAGAAAATGCTTCGGATTATTTATCCACCACTCTATTCATCTACAGTCTACACTATAATTATTGCTAACGTTAATCTTCGTTTTGAAATAAGTCGCTAAGAGAAAATAGCATGTATTTCTATGTTCTTCTTATTATATATATATATATATATATATAATAAGAAGAATATATTCGACCGTGCTGTTATTTTCTTATACGTACGAGTAGATTATATGTTAATTAATCACAATTCTGAACAAATTTTGTTGATTCTCTTTGAAGTTCATAGGGTATTGTATGTATTGGATAATGCAACGGACATAACATTATCATTTGTGTAAATTACATTATATTCAGCAAATAATTAATAATTATGTCAACATTTTCCACCGTATAAAGATACAACATTATGCCAAATGTCTCTTTAGGCAAACCTATTCGACATATGCTGTTTGTGGCAAAAATATAGACTGTTCTCATACATAGCAAAGATAATAAACAACATTATAATTCATGATAAGGATCTGTTTGTTCTTTTTTTAATAATAATTTTATATTTGTGTATATCTCCAGTTACACTGGTCCTATGACTTGAGTTATCTTTCATTGGCTTTCCAGTTGATGAGCCGGGATGTTTTGATGATACTTTATAGACGTTGGTTACTATTTTCTATCATATAAAACAATATAATTTCAGTAAAGTAGGCACATAAGTAAAGTAAATAACATAATCAACAATGTTTTGTTATTTTCAGAACAGACCGCCGAAGATGAGTTCAAGCGAATTTAGGATAGAGCGCAACGTTGAGTTGTCGCCTGAAACTAAGAAAATCGCTGAAGAGGAGTTAAGAGAGACACCCGAGAGAGTAAGAGAAGCCATAGAGCGCCTTCGAGAACTTCTTAAGGAGAATGATGACTTGTACTATAGCGATGACGACGAGATGTTGACTATTTTCCTGCGGCCTTGCAAATGGTATCCCGAAAGTGCATTAGCATTGGTGAGTAATTTATATATTATTTACTGAAAATAAAAATTTTAACAGGAGATATTTGGGTATCGTAGTTCGCACTATATGTAACAAACAGCCTCCATTCAGGAGGTTAGATGAGGTGAGGTCAAGCTTCGCATATTCGTAGCAGTTGCAACAGTTGAGTGGCAGCGACACGCCTATATTTTTTTAGCTTCGCAGGGACGTCTGTGGAGAGGCGGCTGATTTTTACTACCTTAACTAGGGTCTAATTTAGGCGTAAGTGTAAGCAGCAATAATAAAGACACGCATTTATTATTGCTTATATAAAAAACTTAAAAATATATACGTGTTATTTGTTAATTAATAGTTTTCAACCATGAATTAGACAGCATGATTGTCATTAAAATGTAGGCGTGAATAGGATGAAATCATAAAAATTTTATTATTTTTATGTTATTTCTAAAACGTCCTATATAATTAATGTCTTATTTCTGAGATCTCTGTATTAATAATCAAATACTATTTATGATCATAATGTATAATTGTCACAATAACATTTAGGTAAGCGAAATCTTTAGCTTCCTATCGATACCATTAAAGTAGCAAAATTTAAATATTTACGCTAAACTATACCTACTTATTATAAGGTAGGTAAAGTACGTTGATAAATCTAGAATAGAATTACTTGTTAGATAGTGTTCGGTGTTTTGTTTGGAAATAATTTCATAATTGGGATACATGGGGTCACAGCGAGCACATAGATAAAGAAACTCGTAGAACAATGACATAACTGCCATTGACATGATCACGAAAAGATTTCGTAAACGGTTTCATACAAGACTTGAATAGTTCACTGGAATATGTTTCTTACACATATTATAGTGAAATGTATCAAAGAAATATACGAGTATACTTCATTGTCAATGAATTCCGTTGTTTATATATTAAAATGCTTGAATGTATTTCGTAACCACTTCGTTACGGTACGGTAAGTGCTTAGTTTATCAATATTTCTGCAGTTCAGTTATAATATTACTTTTATACTAGTTTATGATAAATCTTGACAAAGATTTTGACAAATTTGATTAAATATAGAAATTTAACAAACAAAAGTAAATGTATTGAATTCATTCTCCAAATGAATAAAAAGACCACTAAAATTTTGAGATATGAAAGTATTATAATGTTTCACGATATGTACAATAAGACAACTGATTTCCATTATTCTGTTTCTGTTCGTTGACTTAGGATTATATTAATCACATAGAAAATTTGTCTGGAATTGCATTTCTTTCATTGCATGTGTTCCAGGGTTATATGGCAGGGTCAATATAAATTTCTACTATACTACTGCTTTTGCTACTGAAAATGTTTGGATTGATAATGATGACACATCTTGATTGCCACCTACGTGGTATAATAAAAGTAATGACGCTGAAAATATCTTTATACTTTTAAAATTTGACAATTTCTTTATTAAGTTATAGAGATAGCTCTACTCATTCTACAAAACAATGCACTTTGTGGTCCATTCTACCTGTTCTGCTAAAGGATCTAATTTAGGCCATGTCGGTATAAAGTAATTGTTTAAGAAAAATAACCGAACCACTAATTTGTTAGAAGTTACCGGAAACAAGAGGAAAAGCAAAGTTGTAATGTACATCTGTGATAATTAAGTTCATAATTTGCTATATAGAGCTACATGTATGTGCATTTAGTTTAATGGATTCCAAAACTAGTACAATTTCGTCGATTATTGTAAAATCTTCAGTATCAGTTTAATTGTATCAGAAATGGTGTAGGGTTCTCGATAATAGCTACTCGGCCTCGTATCTATAATGACCTCCTATTGTGACTGTGCATACTGTTCTAGATTTGCGCAACTTTTTATAGTGTAACGAAACTATACGCCGTCTCTGCAACACTCCAAATAAGAATTAATAGGGTGTAGTTATTAGGAATTTCATTCATATTTGGTATAATGACCTAGACCCTTAGTCGTTTATTTCAAGGGCGCAAATGGGCTTGAAGTTTTGTCAGGCTTATGTGTTCATTGAACTCGAGTTTCAGAACCATTAATTTTGACACAACGATCCCTACTTATTCTTACTGCATATAATTTATTTTATTTATTTATTTGATTTTAATTCGGATTACATCCATATTGTGTTAGTAAAAACTTATAAAACTATGTTCGTAACTTATAATATACATATACGTAGATATATTTAATTCATATATCTGTGTCCACGTCCAGAAGCACTGGGTCCACAATGCAACGTTATCCAGTGCCTCTGGAGCGGACAATCAGGTATATTCGCAACAGTTTTTAGGATGCTGTTTGAGCTCCCCCGAATTCTAGACATCAGTGATGCAGCTCTTTTACGCATTATGGCTTCAAATCCATCTACCCGCGCTGCTGCAAACATCTCTGATGCGCTACAGAACCGAGAGAGCTCCAACAACATCCTAAACCCATTATTATACTGTATACGAAGAGCGTTGTATGCCCTCTGCGTATACCCAAACCATAGGCCGCACGTGTAAAACGACTGACAATACGCTTTAAACAATGTTGTCTTCACGTCGTTATTACACCGTGCAAACCTACGGGCCAGCATATTACATCGGACCGACAACGCTCTTCGTTCCCTCTCTATGTCATAGTCATCATTCAAGTCCCCCGATACAATGTGACCCAGGTATTTAAACCGCGACACCCGATTCAATGGTGTGCCATAAAGATAATATATAATGTAAATCACTATTTATTAAGAAAAAAAGTGTAGATCTATAAAAACACATATTTTCCTTCTTATCAATGGAAATGAAATATAGCTGTTATATATTTTTATAGGGTTATATAAAATTATAGGGTTAATAATGAGTTTGTTAAAAATATTTTTTTATTAATATAACAAAAATATTACCTACGTTTATACAAGTTAGCTTTAATTACATATTTTATATATCTCCATTTCATCCATATGTCCAGATCTAGCCAGTGTACATACACTGGCTAGATAGATGGCATTGTTACATAACAATTTAATCTATTTATTGTATCATAAAGTGGTGCAATAAAATTATTCTTATCCTAGGTATATCCGTTAGACTTTGTCCTTTTATCTACATGCCCTGAGCCTATGAGTTCTCAGACTAACAGATAAAATAATATGTACCACAATGTAGTTTAGCATATTTAATTATATTATATTAGTATACATACTAGGCTAGTATCTATATTGGTAACTTATGAGTATTTGCTTTCATTATAGAATATTGACATAAGATGACTCAAAAATGATTAAATTGTTTCTATTAAGCGTATATCTCTTACATGCCCATGCGCATACCTAATTGTTACATAGCCAATCTATTCAATATTCGGTATGTTATTTGTAGTTAACAAAACGACGTATCTTTAGTAGTATATATAATAGTTACTTTTGAATAATGAAAATGAAAGTACAGTGTAAGGCGGCTAACACCTTAGTCTTCGTCGTGTAAAAATTAAGTGTATGTTTCTGGGGAGATATCTATACCTATCTATAATAAAATTATAACGAGGTATAGTTTGTATGTTTGTCGTGGTAATCGCCAGTTCTAGTGATCCCATTTTTAAAATCTTTCTCTTTTATAAAGGTATATTATCCCCGAGTGTTATAGACATAACATCACGCTACGGCTAGTAGGAGTGGAGCAGCAATGAAAAATGTGGCAAAACATTATATGTCAAAATATTAATTTTCAGAGCTTTCGCTGCTTTTGCTTTGTTTAGGTTAAAGTTACTCAAAAAATATGAACATATGTTTCATTAAAAATTCTAAAAAAATGCGCGGCAACATATGTCTAACTTTTAAGGTTAACTCACTATAACCTTTTTTATAGATAGATATTGGGTCCGTGAAAAGCCGGGGTTGGTTCATAGTAAATAAATAATAATATTATTAAATTAATGGAATAAAACTAGATTGAAATCCGATTATAAAGTCGAGGTATCAGTTGTTTGTTTATTACTAATGACATTAAACATTTCTACTGTTTTAAATATCACAGGAACGCTTAGATACCAGCCATAGATATAAGAGAGATGGTGGACGATGTCAAAGTTCACATTTTATCGTGAAATATATAGATAAGAATTATCAGCTCTGTTGCTTTTAAACGTGTACTGTGGCACTTTCAGCTTCACATCATTCAACGCAAGTAATAATTATAATTGGTCATAATAATATGTAGGTATTTTTGTTTGTTATCGTTTTTTTTCCACTACCGTAGAGACAGAAGTAAAAATTGAAATACAAAGTTTGCTGTCGTCAACACTAGAAATCAATGCAACCGTTTATTTCTGTGGTCAATAATATAATTTAACTCCTAGCTGGTAGTGCTAACGGATTGAATTCACTATTACATGTAATGTTATGTCAATATATGATATTATAAATATTTAAAATAGGAAGGGGAAGGAGTGGGTGGGGTAGGTTACCGCATAGAGGTCTACCTGATGTTCGTCTATTTGGTGCATGCATGAACTATACAGAGATTATCTATATGGCAATATTCTTCATTATTAATAATTCTTTCTCTATAATCCTACTAAAGAAACTGTGATAACGGTGGAATTGATGAGCGGTGATACGAAATAATTGAACAGTAAGTGTTAGTAACTGTCGCCGTATATTCTGTAATTAATAATTATACATGTTATCTTATTATAAATTAATATGTTTTATCTTAAAAAAATGGTATCGACTGTAATATACTATGACGAATCTTATTACGGCATTAACCAGATAATGATAAGGTATCTACTCAACATGGTTTCAATAAAATGAAATTGCTAATCTTAGATATTTGTGAGTGTATAAATATAAATACATGAATAAAAATAATAATATTTTTGCATTATCTATAAATAAAATTGGAGTGTCTGTTTGTAATAACAGTTTTTTACTACATACATACTGCATATGAATATAAATACTGTATATATACTAAAATAACATTTTTTACTTTAATAATTA